GGCGAGGCCGGGTGCTTACCGAGGCCCAGCGCCGCTCCCGGCTGATGTGGACCACGGCGTCGTGCACCGAGGGGAAGAAGCAGTGCTTGGTGATGGCCGAGCCGAAGAAGTTGCCCCGCTCCATCTGGGTGACTACGGATGCTGTGGAGGGAGAAGGATCCGAAGCTGTGGCACCCACCTCCCACCTGGAGGAACCTCCCTCCGCCCGCTCTGCGGGGGCACCAAGGCCATCATCACCAGGGCTCCAGCTGCCTTGGCAGGGGCTGCGGGGCTCTGACTGGATCCCTGGGACAAACTGTGGCACCCGTCCCCTGGGGCTGGGGACACCATAGAGGGGGCCCCAGGCCAGCAGTGGTGTCCTGAAGGGCTGCGCAGGGGCTGATGGTTCTGTAGAACCTCCTCACCCGGGCAGCTGGCAACGAAGACGTCCACTTCTATCTCACGGAAATCCCTGAAGATCTGCAGATGCCAGAAAACATGTTTTGCCCAGGAAGACCAGCCATTGGGCCACCCTGCAGGGCCCTGGGGACACCCACGGCAGGGCTGCTGGCCCACCTGCTTCCCCAGCCCCTTACATTCTTCAGGATCTTGATGGAGACAGTGTCCACGAAGCTGACGGGGCTGAAGTCCAAGATGATGGCGTGCAGGCTGGGCTGGGGCAGCCCCAGGGTGCGCAGGGTGGGCTTGGGGGGTGCGCTGCCCTCCGCTCGGCTCAGATCGATCACCACCACGCCCGGACCATTGCGCCCATCCTCTGTGTCCTGGGGGAGGGAGGGAGACCCGGCCTCGTCCTGGGGGCACTGGTGGCACCCCTGGCTGGGCAGTGTCCCCACTGGGTGCCCCGGGAGTGGGTGCCTCGCTCACACCTTCACCCAGTTTTTGGGCTCTTGCTGGACCCACCCCTCCCCCCAGTGACCCTCTCCAGAGCTGACCTCATTAGCTGGCACCAGCTCAGCCTTTGCTCTCACTCTTAATTCCCACTAACTCACCCAACGGCTAATGACTCATTGGCTCCACCACCTAATCATTAACGGCCTGGCTTTCTGCGCCGACCTTGGGTGTGATGCTGTGGCCCGGCTCTGCCCCAGTGCCTCTTCTCACCCAGTGGCCCAAATTGAGCCCCACGAGCCACCGAGCCGGGCGACTGCGCGGGCTGCGCGCGGGACGAGG